ACTAGTTTCGGAGAATTACACTCCCCCAGTGAAAGAATAGACCATTCCAAGCTTTTATTTGTTGTTAAACAAATGTTTAAACAACTCTATTTATTCAAATATTTTTTTTTTGTATAAATATATACAGTCGGTTTGTGCATTTCTTTACACATAAACTCACATGCTTACGAAAATATAAAATGCTATTGTTGCATGACGCTTTAAGTTTTGAAAATTCGAAGTTTATCATTTTTTGTTTGTTTAATTTTGAGCAAAGATACTCGAGAGCTAACTGCACTAGCCGTTCCTAATATAAAAGTGATTGACTAGTGGGAAAATAACTAGTCAACAATATCCATCGCCAACACTTGGGCTACTCTTTTGTGGAACTGACCATCACATTATAACTCCCACAGATTTAAAGAGCGAGCATGTTCAACAATGGGATTCGAACCCGAGACCAGATGAATCGGAGCCGAGTTTCCACGGTTTTAGAGATAATCATATAAATATAATATGTCGAACCATCACTTGTGAGATCCATTGGACACCAATAGCACTTACTAATCTTGTAAACCTCGATTTTTTTTTTTGGCTAAACAAATCCCAACACATGAACGAGTAAGCATTTAAGTACATTTGAAGTGATTTAACATTTAAAAAGTTACAGGAATAGTGTAATAGTTCTTTTTTGGCTGAGGGCAACGTTTTATTTGAAAGAAATCGAAAATACAGTTATAGTAAAAGTCCTTTATAAGAATCGTGATGTATTAGACATCCCTCTATTCCTATTAATTGGCCAATTATGGATAACAAATCAGAAGTGTAAAAGAATGACATTTCAGTTTTATTTGTGAGAAGTCATTGACCAGGAGATCTTTCGTTCAGAACGAGAACCTAACTACTACTTTCCCAGTAGAAGGACGATTATCATCATTCGGAAAAAACGAAAATATGAGCTACAAATTTTACTGGGTTAAAATAGAATATCATTGATTATAATCACACTCTGCCACACATAGGAAATTTTAATTCTACAGAGTTAAGTTAATTACAAACACAAGGCTATCCATCTACCATTTCACATGTAATACACTACAAACACAAGGCTATACACCAACAATTTCACATGTATTACACTACAAACACAAAGCTATCCACCAACAATTTCACATGTATTACACTACAAACACAAAGCTATCCACCAACAATTTCACATGTATTACACTACAAACACAAAGCTATCCACCAACAATTTCACATGTATTACACTACAAACACAAGGCTATCCACCAACAATTTCACATGTATTACACTACAAACACAAGGCTATCTACCAACATTTTCACATGTATTACACTACAAACACAAGGCTATACACCAACCATTTCCCATGTACTACACTACAAACACAAGAATATCCACCAACAATTTCACATGTATTACACTACAAACACAAGAATATCCACCAACAATTTCACATGTATTACACTACAAACACAAGAATATCCACCAACAATTTCACATGTACTACACTACAAACACAAGGCTATACATCAACCATTTCACATGTATTACACTACAAACACAAGGCTATCCACCAACAATTTCACATGTATTACACTACAAACACAAGGCTATCCACCAACAATTTCACATGTACTACACTACAAACACAAGGCTATACATCAACCATTTCACATGTATTACACTACAAACACAAGGCTATCTACCAAGATTTTCACATGTATTACACTACAAACACAAGGCTATCTACCAACATTTTCACATGTATTACACCGGTGGATAGCCTTGTGTTTGTAGTGTAATACATGTGAAAATCTTGGTAGATAGCCTTGTGTTTGTAGTGTAGTACATGTGAAATGGTTCTATACACCAACCATTTCATATGTATTACACTACAAACACAAGGCTATCCATCAACCATTTCACATATACTACACTACAAACACAAGAATATCCATTACCAAATTCACATTGATTACACTACAAACCTTGTCTATAAAATATGCTAACCCCTATGGATTTCTATCTAACTGTGAATAGTCGAAAAATAGAATTACAAAATCTAATCCCGCCTTCTGTGAGAGAGGAGTTTACATATAGCGAAATAAACATAAATAATATTAATTCAGGAAATGTAAAAGATTTGTTTGTTTTGGTAAATTCTAATTTTTTAGGTTTTTCACGACATGGTTATTCTACTATGTTATCTCTTTCAACTTCTATTGGTAATGTACTGGAATGTCTGTTTCCTTATTTGCTTTGAAAGTTCTTTAAAATACATGGTTCGCAGATAATAACTCGTTGAACAGCCTGGTGTATAAACGGTTAACTTGAAACAGTCACAGGAATTCTAAATTTCGATACCTCACCACTATAAAGGCTTGGTTTGGTCTGAAGTTTCATTGGTGGTAGTGTCCAGTGTCACTGATGGGAAGTGGAATTCTCCGAAACTAGTCTGGCTCATAGATACACTACCAATGAAAGAACAGACCGTTCCAAGCTTTTAATTGTTGTTAAACAAATGTTTAAACAATTCTATTCAGTCACAGGATCTGACGAAGATTCACGTTAGTTTGTCGAAATATCGTCGCCACTTGCCCGTTTCATCAGCAGACTGTCTATATATAAAAACTGTTTATCAATAATGGATTTAGACTCTGAAACAGTCACAGGATCTGACGAAGATTCTCCTTTATGGTAATTTGTCGAACTGTCATCACTTGCCCGTTTCAACTGTGAACAAAACATGTACTTTTATTTACAAAGAGATCAGAGATGAGGATACGGTGTGCAGGATAAAAGGCAAGGGCCAAAATAAACTAGCCTGTACACCGTATAATCACCTAAATGAATCACTATTTACATAAACGACGAAACACGGCTTCCTTTTAACAGTCATAAAACTTTACGATTAAGGATATTGGACAGCAGTATTTATTATTTCGTCGAGTTTTGTTCGTATCAGGACTGTATTTAGTTTCGAAGCAAAAATATGCAAGATTTCTTAAATATTTTCGCCCCTACCCCTCAGTAAGTCTGAAGGCTTACAACACTAAATTCGAGTTTCGATATCCGTGATAGGCATAACATAGATATACCATATGTCGTTTTGTGCTTAATAATAAACAAACACTAAATATTTCACTTTATTACTACACTACTGATAATGAAATAAAATATTATTAGCAGCGTATATATCAGTGTGTGTGTGTATGTAGCTGTATAACAGTAAATTAAAAGTTTAAGCAAAACAGCTTAATTCTGAACCTTTTTCTTTCGTCTTAATTTATTTCTTCTTTGATATTTTTACGTTACTTATAATAAATAAAAGGGCTTGTTATATATAACACATTAATCTATATATTTCTTTATATATATATAATTTTAATAATAATCTTTGCCCTCTAGTGGTAGTTTAAATTAACCTGGCTTTGCGATTCTGTGAAATCAGTAAGATTTTCCTGTTGAATTTTAATATAGTATTAGCAAATCTAACGTTTTAGTTATAATATTGCATTGGAGTGCATTTCAAGTACCATTTATTTGCTTATAGACTATATTAATCTTCGTTTGTAAAATGAATACAAACTTTCTATCGTGTTCGTTTTTGATAAGCATATCGTTTTTCTGTTTTATTTACAAAGCAACTGCGAGTGATATTATTGATAATGATAAGCCGAGATATCGCAGGTTTAGTGGGATCCCCTTGGAATCTACTTCACCAGTAGCGGATAGTGCAAAAGAATGCAGATTTTGGACTGAGGTAGCAAAAAGTAGCCTTCTTCCTCCCCCTTTGAAGGATTTTTCTATATCATTTGGCTGTACAAGAAACGTACTGTGTACTGGAATAAACTGTTCAGGAAAATACAGCAATACTACGTTCAATTTTGGCTTGGCTATTAATACATGTAATGGTCCACTGAGTGTAAGTATATTTGGAAACATACCTGTGCTTGGAGCTAAATGGAATAAAACACTAACACGTGGGGACACACTTGACATTGCAGAAGAAGGTATCCATTTGAGTACGTTGGGCTTAACCCTCAAGCCAAAATTAAAGTTTGGGATGACTCCAGCTGGAAATGAATTAGTGGTGAATTTAAAGGAATACACAGAAAGCAGTGTTGAGCATGGGTTGTTTTTACCGAAGAATTTCAGTATTTTACACAACTTGAGAATTCCTTTACCAGATTGCTCTCGAAAATCTGTTAATTATCCCGTATCTTCCCAGTCAACATCAAGTCGATCAAAGAGTAATCAGAAAGCTGTCAATAAGATTGAGGACTCTCACCAGAAAGCATTTTTATATCTTACCAAAACACATATGAATGAAAAAAAATGTGATATTGGAGACATGGATGCTTGTGACGATTATGAAATATGCGAGCAAAAGGCCTATAATTCTCAAAAAGGAATCTGTCGCTGTCAGTATGGTTATCAGCGAAAACAAAATGGAAGCTGTACGCTAACAGAAGAAACTCCAACCGATACTACAGTAGTGACTGTTATCAACGTGGAACCTGAAAATTCAACCTCCAAACTTGATTCGAGTGCTACAGCCAGTTCATCTCTTAACCTGATTCTAACGGCCACTCTTGTTCCTCTTCTGGTAATTGTTCTGTTGTCAGCTTCCATATATGCCCTTGTGCGTTACAAACTGTGCCAGCCACTGCCCAGAAGACTTCGAGTCAGAGCATCTGAACACATGCTCCTTGATCAAGACGATGAAGAACTGCAAAATCCTGCAAGCTAAGTTTAATCTCAAGAAAAATAGAAGTTAAAAGATATCATGAGTTTATTTCATTAAGTTTGTATATGTTGTTAAAAAAATGCTTGCTCTAAGTTGATCTTGATGCAAAATTTAGTATTAGAGTTTCCAGATAAACCTTGGAGAGTGGTTTGTATTATTAAAGAAAATATCACTTTGTGTAATTAGAGCCTTTTCCTTGTAAATTGATATGAATTTTATTGTTTTTATATTGCAAACCCTGAAACTTACCCCTATAATTATGTAGTTTTTTTTTTGTATTTAAATTTTTATTTTTCACCCAATTGTTCAAGGATACTTCGATGAAAAATGTTTCTACTTTAGTAAGGAGTTATATGGTGATTTTATTTGTCTTTGTTGCTTACCAGATAGATGTTAATAGATAAAAGCTTGTATTTTCTGCAAAATGTATGCATAGTTTTGAGTATGATGAGTTTGTTTACCATCCAGTTCTTCTCGTGTAAACTGGACACGTTATCTATTGGCTAGGATCAGAGTTCAAGAGTTTATAACAGTCGTTGTAGACTTATTCATGTGACATCACAAAGCCTTAATGGTTGTTTTCTCACACCATTCTCGAGATGCAACTCTGCAATTTACTTATATAAGTGTCATTTTGCATAAAGTTGAAACTTAAATTGCTTAGAATTTATTGTTAATATTTTTATTACAAAATAAGCATTTATCAGTGTATGGTTTAGAAGGTCAAAATAAAAATGTATATGCATTAGACTGAAATGGTTTGGTGTTCATAGAAATAACTATATTTCTGCTTCAAAATATATAGACAACAAGGGCCCATTTAGTCCTTCAAGTTTGTCCACCATTGAGAAAAGAAAATTTAACTTATATTTCAGGAAATCATCGATTCTGTCCTTAAAACTCTTTGTAAAGTTATGGACTTCATTAATGCCAACATATTCTGTGAGCCAGTCACTTACGTCATGTAATCCTTTTGTATTCAGATACAGCACAAAGAAATTAATTATCTTTATTCTATCAATAATCTTGTAAACTTCAACAACAAAGGACCTGTTGTCCTTAAAAGTAGGCCATAACTTGCCATACATACCTTTCTCAAAAGAAATAAGATCTTACCCTATCTCTGTAATATAACCCTTCCAGCCCTGGAATTATGCCGATAGGTCTCTTCTGAACCCTGTCCAATAGGCCGGTATCTTTCCCTAGATAAGTAAACCAAAACTGCACACAATATTGTGAGGCCTAACTAGTGATTTATATTGAGAGATTGTTACCTCTTTAGTCTCAATCAATATGTTTATAATTATTTTCACATTACTATTAGCAACAGAGCACTCCCTCAATGACTTTAGTGACATATCCATTTCTATGCCAAGATAATTTTCTTCAGACATGCTACTGAATGGGTTCCTATGCATAAAACGGGTAATCCAAATTATGATTGTCTTAGTGTATTACCTTGCACTTTGTGTAATTAAAGATCATATTTGTCCATCTTATCAATTAACCCAGTTAATTCAGTAGTACTTGAGCATTCTCAATAAAGATAAAAATACACTGGAGTTAATTTCATTGGCTAACTTTACTTATTATGGCCTTATTATCAATATCATTAATGTAAATGAAATAAAGAAAAAAGACCAAGCACTGACCCCCTGCTGCAGACCACTAGTTACAATGGTCCCGCTTGATTGGACTCCATTAAAAACAACCTTTTTCTCACCAACCACTCTACAATCCAATGAACTTATCTTTCACCAATTCCTATCACTCTGATTATCTTAGCAAATATTGTGTGCAGAATGTTATCAAACGCTTAACATCTAATATCCTCGAAAAACTTTAATAACATATTAGTAAGGTAAGTTTTCCCATTAGTGAGTCCATATTGGCTTTTTTTTGTCTGTGATATTATATTTCACTAAATGATTTTGTAAAGCTTCTTTTATCAGACTCTAGAAATAATTTTTCTATTAATTAGAATACTGGCCTATAATTCCAGGGCAAATCTTGTTACTTCCTTTAAAAAAACAGCACTAACATTAGAAACTTTACAATCCTCGGATACTTGCCCACTCTATACTGACCTACCAGAAATAAGAGAGAGAGAGGCTCACATATTTGAACTTAGATCTCCTTTAAACCCTGAGGTAAACATTCTGGTCACGGTGCTGTTTCCTTTCTAATAAGGCTTAATATATATATATATATATATATATATATACAC